CGTGGCCTCCTCTGGACTCGCTCCAACCGGTCTATATCCTTCTGATGTTGAGGGCTCCACAGCTGGACACAGCACTCCAGGTGGGGTCTCACCCGAGCAGAGTAGAGGGGCAGAATCCCCTCCCTCGACCTGCTGGCCACACTTCTCTGGATACAGCCCAGGATACGGGTGGCTTTCTGGGCTGCCAGCGCACACCGCCGGCTCATGTTCAGCTTTTCATCCACCAGTACCCCAGTACATGTGTGCAATGTAAAATTATTATGCTATTTTTAAATATCAGCAGCCTTGCTTATATGTTCCAGCATATTCTTGATTGTAGTTAAGTCTGTTACATTCCCCTAACACACTGGCACCTCAGATGTATCAGAAACTCACTGTGCTGGGTGCTGTGCAGGCCAAAACCTGCATCAAATTGGTACTAGTTTAAGAAAGAAGAAAACAAATGACAAAATAGGCAGATTGATGTGGGAGTGCACAGATACAATAAGGCGACATTAGTCAGCAGTAGGCAGTTGTCTTAGCACAGTACTGACGCAGCTGTTGCCAACCTTTTCGGCAACATCATGGCAAAGGACAGTTTTAAAGAAGGAAAGGAAGATGATGGAGAGAGTGCTCTGGAGAGAGGTGGGGAAGGCACTGTGGGAAAAAGCACAGTTCATCTGAAAATGTAGCAAATGGGTGACAAAGACAGTACCAGAGGCTGAGAGGATGGAGGAATGATCTGTGCACTGACTGAGGGACTGAGAAGACTGGCAAAGATCTTGAAAGCGAAGAAAAGCAGCCTGTAGCTGAGGCACCCTATAGCAGCCTAGAGTTCACGCAGAAGAAAAGAAGGTATTGAACCAGATATTCATTCCTTCTCTACTTTTATGTAGTCCTCTTCAATCTTAGACAACATTTTTTGTTGCATTACATATCCTAAAAAAGGATGCAGCACTGCAGTAATAGTGTAAAAGAGAGCTACAGCTTGTTTATTCATCTTACAAATTCATTAAAATGACCACAGATAATTAACTCTACAAAGTTAAGCACTCAAGTTGGAGAACATCCTTATTAAAGCTATATATTTGACCTTGAGTGATTGTGGTGCATATATGCAGTTTTCAAATAATCATAGATATTTTTTTCATCTTCAGATGTAGGAAACATACAGCATTTGTAAACTTCTGCTTTTTCTTTGTATAGTATCTTTCCCCTATGCCTTAGTTCAGCATGTATCTACCAGTTTAAAAATATGCTTTTGTTTTAATCTAAGAAAACCATATATTAAAAATTGTGAAATACTCAGACATTATAATTATCCTGTTCAACAAAATTTACTTAGATGCAATGCAGAGGATAAAGTAGTTAACAGTGAAACTAAATTAGCTGCATAAACATGTGCACTGCAGCCCTCCTTAGGTGCAATCTAGGGCTGAAGCAATTAATCACAAAATGTACATAGATATAACCTGAGGTTGGCCTAAATATTAAATACAATGCATTTTCCCAATCTTACAGTGTGCTGTTTTTTTTTTTTCACTACCACTCTTTGTTATTATACTTAATGTGTAGCATACGGTACAACCATAACACACATCACTTTCCACTCCACTCTGTGCACTTGTTTTAGGATATACAGATATTACTGGGTGAAATATGTTTTCTTTGGTCCAAGCCAGCTTAATAATTTTCTGCCTTCACGCTGCCACTCACCACTTTTTTCCTTCCTTGCCTTTTTTTTTTTTTAAGGCTATTTTTTGTCATTTCAGAGATTCAGCCTACTGAGTAATACCTCCCTGCACTGGTGCAGGGGAGAAAAACCAGCTGTCGTAGACAACACATTAAAGAATTTATAACTCTATATTATTGTAAAGTACAAATAAAATATTGCAACACTTATGAAGCTGTAAAAATCTGTAACATTAGAGACTGATTCCAACATTACAAATGCACAAAAAGAGAATAATCAACACCTACCACTCTGTGAATCTGTGAGGTCTTACAGGCAATTCTGAGATTAAGACATGTAACTATAGAGAGATAATGGCTTTGGACTCATACCCTTGCATACAAGCGTCGTGAACAGCTATTCACTACTACAGATGCCCCAAACCACTTCAGCCTCTGTGGTTTTCTTTGTACATGGAGCCTAGGGAAGAGACCACCACCTACTAAGAGCCTGATTTCTCTCCAACTGTGCTGCTGGACCTTCCTTATTGTGTAATGTTTAATTATGCAAAATAGAAAGTTAACTCCTGAAGCCACATGCAGGCTACTTTCTAGTTGATCCTTAAATTCTTCCTACTCTTGGAGTCAACGTAGGTTTTAAAACCAAAATTTTAAGGTTCTATCTTACCAGAAGTTTAGAATAGGCTGGTAATAGTGTGTGTACAGTTCAGTCTGAAGTTCTTTGATGCAAAGTCCACTAAAAAACCTTTCATGCCTCAGACTCAGCTCCTGTCGCAGTACATTTACAAAGACATCAGGTATCACTGACTCTAACTAGCTACATTCTGAAACTGTCCCCAGGCTTGCTTTGTTAGGCCCAGCTAATTCCTGCACAGAATATAAGGCTCTTGCAGTGGATAAAATGAAAGAAGAGAGACTGAAAGCAATCTTTTCCCATTATTACCTGATTCAAGGAAAGTACATTGTTGACCTGAAAAATGTACTCACATTCTGGGATTAGACTACTGATAGTACAAAATATTTCTGTTTGGCAAAGATACCCAAATCTGCTCCTCACTATGCAGCTATTTAAAATCCAGCATAATTGAAAAAAATCTTTTTAATATTGTGAGGAATGGCCCAGCACTGAAACACAAATAAGGAAGAGAAACGAAAGCAGTAAGCAAAGCTGTGAGACAAGTGTGTGAGTGCTTGCGCGATGAGTGTGTGAACGTGTGACCGCGTGTGTCAGGCAGGACTAGCTGGTGAGCATGAGACCTGCAGAGTTGCTAAGGGGGCCCAGGATCCAGGCAGGGATATGAGAGGCTGGGGGCCAGTGCTGGTATCTGAGGGATCTGCGAATGGGGAATGCTTGTGAATCTAGAAAGTGAAGGCATGTGTGTTTTCACTCGTGAACTTCAATTCCAGTCAGTCGGAGATGACTGTACTTGTGTTTTCTGTGAGCCCTGGCAGAGTTACCCCTGCGTGTTGTTAAGGCAGTGCCCTGTCCGTGGCAGCCTGTGGAGTCGGCCAGGTGAGCTTTGTGTGTGTGTGTTCCTGGGATACGGGCTAAGCCTCACTACTGGCTGACATGAAACATGAAAGCTACAGTTGCCTCCACCAGCATGGATCGAAGAGACATACAGGTCTCCAGGTGCACCAGCCTGGGATCCAGAGGTCAAGGAGAAGGAATCACAAGGTCCTGGGGTCCACCCAAGGCAGCAGCCTCATAATCTCCCTCAGCACAGTCACTACAATATCAGGAAATGCAGGCACTGCAGTTGTTTGTAAGGTCTTAGTCTGACCTGGTTTGTACTTGGGTTTCAAAATACGGTCTTTAATTACATGATCTCATTTATCTTCTCATATTCAGTGTATAGGACAGATGATGCTTACCTAATGAGTTGCTGCACAACCTTTTTGAGCGGTTCCTAGGCCTGATTTACTGCACGACATTGAAACCTTAATCTGAGGACGAGTGATTCGTTTCCTGTGGGGACTGTCAAAAGAGTTATCTAGGTGCTTCATGTTCAAGGGAGATTCCCTTCATTCTCCAGACGTGGAACTGAGGCACACAGCATCTCAGTGAAAAGTCACAGCTACAGTTCAGTGCCAATGTGTTAGCAAGTCAGGAGCACTGAAACAGGGAACATACTAACAGTTTCCTCTCTGCAAAATCTGATGTAAATGTCTTTCCTAGCAGACACAGACCTAACTCAAGTTCTCCAGAGCTGCCTTAGCCGTAAGGTCATTTTGTCTGCACCTGTAATCCTCTGGCATGACACAGAACCCCTTTTAATTTCTTTAATTAATGAGAAAGTGGTACAATGGTATTTTTATTACACATTTTTGAGCATCACTAAAACCAATGCCTTGCAACAGAATGCATCAGGCAATATAATAATAATAAAAAAAAAGAAAAGGTGGCAAAAAACCCCACGCAATGTCTGTATAGTCTTGTCAGTAATATATCTCCAAGCACATGTTGAAGGAGATAAATATATGGCCCCTATCCTACTGATGAGGAAGGTAACACACTAAGATATGAGAAATGGTTTGCTCTGTATCACCTATCAGGTGAACGACTCAGCTGAGAGAAGAGCCTCACAAAGCATTTTTTTTCTTCAGAATTCCAAAACATTTTACAACCATAGATATTATTTACATAGGTATTATCTACATCTGGATAAATTCAGTTGCAGAAAGATTACACAGTAATCAGTAAGAGAACCCAGTCCCATAATTCTGCAGTCAGTGAAGTGATCAGATTGTATCAGGCTGGGCTGTGGAGTAGTTCTGAAGGTACCATCCAAGTTTCTGTATAACTCCAAACAGTACCTACATGACCCACACGTAGAAAATTATCTATGTCCATGGTTTAGCAGTTTATTCAGCCAAAAAAAAAAAAAATTCCTCAGACGATTGCTGCTTAAGACTTAAATATAAAAATATATTTCTGTTTTTCAGGTAAAGAGATATATGAGATAAACAAGAAAAGTCAAGCAGTAAAAGTTCCTGATGGGAACAAAGAAAAAAAATGCTACGTCTCTTGAACAAAATTGTCGATACAGACTTTATCATTCCACATAAGTCACTCATCAGAAAGTGAAACATACATATTAACCCAGCTGAAGACTCAGGCCATATGCATATTATTGACCAACCAACCAAAAAAATCACATGTTGTTATACCCTGTTTATTGTCTTCTGAAGTCTGTAACACAGAAAAATAATTCATTTACCTGAAGGTGCAGAATGTATATTGACACTGCTTTTCCTGAACAATTGCTACTTGGTTATGAGTCTGTACATTAAATTTTAACCTTGTGCATATGAACACAGGCAAGGCTTTATTTCCTGTTCTTCACAGGAAGGATATCTGTAATCCAGTAGTGAAACAGAGACGTGACTATCTTGGTATGATCTGAAACAAAGAAAACACATTCCTCCTGAAATACCTCTATGACATTTTTGAACATTAAAGAAAAAGACTTGTGCAAACATCCGTTTCCATTCCACATTAGCATTTCAATAAACCCGACGCAAGATATTGGAGCTTGAAGACTAATACATATGAATTTCTACATAAACACCTGCATTTCCTGTCAGGAGGTCAGCTATTTGTAAGAAAAAAAATTTTGGTTGTATATTTTGGAATGTCCTATTTGTTATGATTTCAATACTGAGAAAAAAAGATGAAATTACATGATCGTATGGGCAAGGCAAAAAGCATGCAGTCTTCCCCACTTCTGTGCCTGGAGTAATTTCACACGTTATTATTTAACTTACAGTAGCACCTAGAAGCCCAGTTGAGAATGAGTCGTCTTGTACAGACAGCTGCATTAGCGTCTCAAAATGACATGGCTTCTCTCTTTATTCAGAGATCATCTATGGGACTTTATTTATTTTTAATGACAGGACTTTCTGCAGTACTTATCACAAAATATCACATTTAAGATGATTCTATAATGTTATGCTATTATAGCATTCACATTTAATTTCCTTTTCTTTGAATGTTCATTCGTTCATTCATTCATTCAAAAAAAATGGTTAAATTTAATCATTTTAGGGCGTCTGTGTATCCAGCCTGGGCATTGTGGGAATACAGTAACTGTATTACATGGTCTGCAAAATGTACCACCTGCCATCCCCAGCAATGGAGACATATATAAAGGACAACTCTCCAAAGAAAGGCAGTTAAAAGAAGCTTCTAGCTCTTCTGTGAGCGATAATTTCCTAGGCAACAAGGGAAGAGTGTATTTGAGACTTGATACTAACCAACAAAGGGAAAATGTTAATAGATAATGGAATAAAGTGATGAGTAGAAGCTGAATGAGTTCATAAATTAGGAGGCAATGACTTTTTTTTTTTTTAATTAGATGATCACCTATTGTTTAATAATTGATGTGAAATGAGAATTAAGTAGCCCTCCTTCCAAAAGCTACAGTTTCCAACCGGCAAATGGAGCATTACTTCCAGTCACGGCTCTTCTTTGCCCACTGCATTGTGCAGGGCCATGAAGGTGTCTGGCCTCCTTTGGCAAATGGCCACTGACTCTGACAGCATCAGCCAAGCCCCCATCACGAGAAATGCGTGGCTATTTGACTTCTAAACATCCTCTTCCCTGCACTGATAGACGACTTGTACTTTTTCTTAAAGACTAAGAAATACATGGGAATAGTAATAGGACATTTTGTTCTTTTTCCCAGTCTGGAACAATGACGCTTTAAATAGTCATGTTCTCCCAGAAACTCTTGACTACCCTTAACTCTGTGTGATTGCTGAAGTACAACGTCAAAGGTAATGATGGAGTAACTTGAAGCACAAACCACAAGGTAACTTGATGGTGGATGACAACTGGACAGAACAACCAGTATCTCTTACCATAGAGATTTTCTTGTTGAAGTATGTTTTCTTTTTTAAAAGAAGGGTTAAAGATAGTAATTATATTGATAATTTTTGTGTTTCGAAATCCTAAGCAATTTTCTCTTCCTGCAAAATTTTTCAGACCCTACCACGAACCCCACTACATCTTTCTTTGATATGACTGCAAATATTGGGATCTAAGAGGTTATGACAATCCACAGTCTTTCCCTTCATGGTTGCTTCTTCCTCTTGGTTGAACCATGATTCTCAGTCTGAGTAACATGCTAAGAGGTGTGAAGGAAATACCAAAACATGGTCTTGAACCCGTGGTTTGCACACCTTGGGCAGTCCACACCTCTACTCTAAAGGGTCTGTAAAATGTTGCTAAGAAAGGCAAATTTATCATCAGTAGGCAGAAACTTGCCAAGTGGGACCTGGTAGTCCCAGTGGAAAATCAGATTAAACCATAACATATATACACTAGGAAATAAAAGATACATGCTGGCATGTGAAGCTTACTAATGGAGCATGGGCGCTCATGTGAAAGTGATGGATCACTTCTCACTTTTTTCCTTCTCTTTCCTTCCTTGAATTAAAGACAACACAGAACAAAACAGCACCCATTATTATTCCTTTGATGCTGGCATCTTAAGTAGAATCATAACCATGGGAAAAAGATTTAACATACAGCTTCTTGAACTAAAAATAGGTTTATTTTGTAAAAATAATACACCTTGCTAAAATTAAGAAAAATTGTTTTCTTTTCATCATGTTAATAAAGAATGACCTTTTCTTCTAGTACATCACACCCCAGTAAGCATAAAAAAACCTAGAAAAAAAGGCAGGATAATCAGACAAACTTATAAAAAATTTGAGATTACTATGATGTACTGTACATTTTATATCCATAAACATCCCCAACCTCTATTTCTGTAATAACAACTTGAATTTGCTGAGACAAGTTTGGCAATAACTCTTCAACTTTTATCACCTGTTCATTGGCAGTGAAATATAAATTTTAAGACAACTGGGCATGATAGATGACTTATTTTTGAGCTAGAAGTAGGGGAAAAAGTATAATTAAAAGCCTAATTCAAGGTAAAATTTCAGGGCACTATATTCTCATTCACAGAAATTCCTGAATTACAAATATAATGTATTGCTAAACTCTGCTGAGGCAAATTAATGTCTAGCAGGTGTTTAATTACCCTTTAATAATTGATAACAATGTATTTTCCTCTTTCTTATGTTGTTGTAGCTCATGAATATCAAATCAACTACTACAGTTACACCACTGGGAATTTGGAATGAGATTAGAATTGATCCCAGGGTGACAACAGTTACTAGGAAAAAAATCAACTAGAAGAGTAAACAGTTTCAGGCTCTATCAGCAGAAAGATAAATAATTTTTATAAATCACTCAAAAATTGTTTTCTGCTTTTTCAAGTGACAAATACATACACCAGAAAATTAGGGTAGTTTTGTGTATTTGTTTCTAATTTGCTTCTCTCTTCAGCTTGACATTTCTGCTATATAAAAGTAAACAGAGCAGCTTGCCTCAAGGCTGCAAAATCCAAGAGAATTCCTACTGTCATGATCAGAATTTGCAGAAGAGCTGTAAGGAATATCCTGAATATGGTCACTTCAACAGTTCCATTTTGATTTAATAACGAGAAGCTGAATTAGGTCATTTAATAAATGCCCCAAACCATTACCACTACTCCTGCTGAGTCCTACTTAGTTTGCAAATGTCTATTACATCCAATGAGACTATCTGATTATAATTAAGATCATAGAATTGAAATTAATTATTGAATGCCCAGAAGGATTTTGTTCCATGTATAGGTGGATACCTCTGATCTATCAGAACCTTAAGGGCTGTCATATTCCATATGTACACTTTAAAGAATACCTATGTACTTCTGTAAGTGTATCCTGTTCAAAATGTGTCAGTTATGAAATCTGCAGGCAGGCATTCTCTCTTTTCCGTGTTTTTACAACGCGCAGCATTCAGTAGGCTCCAGTCTTGACTGGCATCTTTACTCACCATCACGCTGCAAATTATTTAATGACGCTACAAGCAGTAGGCTCTTCTTTGAGTGTTACTGCTAAGCCTCTGGTGGCTATGATCTTACTTACTCTGTTACCACACTACTACCAGCTCAGTTGTTACTCTTCAAAAGACTCAGAGCACTATCTGAACAGTTGAGATTCTCTCGTGTCACAGCAAGTACTCTCAACTCTGATTAAATTCTTTGGGAGGCAAGGAAATTCAGCACATCTTGTCGATTTGGCTGACACTGCAACAAATGGACTAATGACAAGTAATAAAGACTGTTTAAATGAAGACTGCTTGGAAAATGAATTATTATACCTTCTATGGACTACAAGCTGATCCTACATTCACTTGAGGAACTATTAACTGCCCAGGAAGAAATTCTGCTAAAATTATAGGGGTTATAATAGAGAACAAGAGAAGCATGAATGAACTCAGACTTGTGCCTCCATCCTTGTATCCTTGCCTCCATCCATGGAGGCCTCCATCCTTGTGTCTCTAGTGCAAGGTGTCCCTGCCCATGGCAGGGGGGTTGGAACTAGATGGTCTTTAAGGTCCCTTCCAACCCAAACCATCCTGTGATTCTATGATAAAAAAACTTAGTTCCAGAATAATTTTCCTTTACATGAATGACTTTGTACTATCATTTCTAATAAAGTTATTTCAAGTTCTTTACATAACCATCAGTATCTTTTAGAAGCATAAACCAGACATTTATGTTTAAACAAAAAAAAAAGCTGTAAATCAAATTTTGACATACAAAATCTACATGTTAAAGAAGCCACGTAGGTGACCAAGAGCAAATGAAATAATGGGCTTCACTGATTCTTATGCATGTAAAATTAATCCTTAACTGGCTGAGTGAAATCTCCAAGATAAATTAATTCCAGTGATTTAAAAAGTTTACAAAGAGAATGTATTAAAAATATGCTTTAAACATGATTAAAATGGTTAAGATTTAAGAAATATTATTTTAAGATCCTGAATCATCTTGTGCTCCACAGTTGCTGCAAAGTACAAAAAGTTTCTCTATTGCTTGTAACTGTGCTGGTTTTAGCAAGAAACAGGGATAATAATTTTCTTTTCAATGGAAATTATGCTTTCATATCTTGCATAGGCATATATTCACCACTGTATAGTTATTTACAGCTTCCTAATAAGAGAACCTGTGACAAATCTGAATTTTACCCTACACAGAAAAGAACATGAGTGAATGAACATGCATGAATGGTACCTACCAGGTGGCATCATGGATTGTTCTTCAAATTGTTTTAAAGCATCCTTCAATCTTGCAATATCCCACAGCAATACAAGGGATTTCAGCTGATGCAGAAGAGTAACATCTGAGGAAGAGATGGTGCGAGATTGAAGATACTGTAAAAGCTCTTGGGCAGTTGCTGGATTTACAGCAGAATCTGTGCCTTCTGATTTATCTGGAAAAACAATTGAAAAAACACATTAAAAATACTCAGCACAGAGAATTTTCCTAATTATACCTACTTTTCAAAGACAGCATCTTACTTTTCACAACTTAAACCAAATATCTAGTAACTAAATACCAAATAACTACAGAGCAGCTTGCTCCTCCCATTTTTCATTAAATATTAAAACAATGGTAAGAGAGGAAAGTATCAAATTCAAAAAGTAAAAAGAACAATAGGATTCCTAGTGACAGAAGTGTAAGAGGAATCTAAAGCTTCAAGATTAGCACAGGAAGAAGGTGTGATGTGGCTAAAGCACTGTGGTTTTGCTCCCTAGACACTATGTATTACAAAAATGCACACACGCTTGGAGACAGGGAACAGCTCTGTGGAACTGCAGCAAAGCACTTCTGGAGACATCCAGTCATCTTGTTACTGTACTTCTACGTTTTTAGTTTAAAAGTGGGTATTACAGCATGCAAGGCAGCAGAGCAGGGCATTGTTTCTACAGTAGTAAAGCATAAATTCATTTTCCATTCCAGTAACAGTGCATAGTCTGTCCCTTTAACCAGACTCCCCTTAATTCTTCTGGTTTTACCAGCAAGGCGACTGAGAAGAACAGATCTTTCCCTGTTCAGCTTTCTGACATAAGTGCAAGGAGTATAATCCAATGTGACCATTTGAAAATGCTGCTAAAAGCAATGGCTTCCAATTTGATCTAAAAAAATGGGGAGTGTTGAATTCACTCAACTATAAAAGGCAAACAGCATAATGTCAGATCTATATATAAACTGGGATTTGCCTAACAAGAAAGTTAGTCACGGTCTCATTTATGGATGTGATACCTCAACTGCAGATGAACTTCCTTTTACCTGAGCATCTCTCTCTGTGGATTCCAAGGTCCTCCTCACTGGCTCAATGCCCCGATCTGCAGCTTTGACACCAGTCATCACTGTCAACTGCTGCTAAAACCTGAACTTGATTTCCAGGAAAGCTGGAAGCTCAACACTTTAAAGTTCAACACCAGTAATTGAGCAGGTTTCTGTTCTGGGTCATATATTAACAGCGGGACTGTTAACTGAGTCTGCAATCTTACCCAGTTACTCTGGAGTTACACTACAGCAAATACACGTAGTTCAGCTTACTTAGCCATACACTGAAGTAGCAAAATTCTTTTTTTGGTGATGGAAATACATTAAACAGAAAAGTTGGATGGGTTTCCAAAGCGACGCTTAGTATGAAGACCTGACACAGCAGAAATGTTCTAACAGCAAGCAAAGAAACTTCTATGTAAAAATCTTGAGAAAAAAAATTAACTTGAAATCCCTGATGTCATCTCAACAGGGTTTTTAAGCTAATTCTGTAGTCAAAGATTAATTTTATGAGACTAGGAGCTGACAGCTCTGACTTAAGGTGGACTCCTACAGGTAGGAAAGCTGTTTAATATTCTCCATCCAGCTCCACAAAGACAGTCAAGGCCATGCGCTTTGAAAATAATTTCACTGCTTCTTTCCAGTTTTACAAGACAGTTCTCATTTTAAAACCATGTTCTGAGCAGCTAAAGAACACACCGGATTGCCCTTAAGAAAACATATTTAATTCTAGCTGATACCTACATAAACTGGTGTATGTGCACATAATTACTACACCTACCACTAAAACTTCATTATCTCTGAAAGGCATTTATGACATAAGCACCATACAAGTAGCTTTTTAGAATCATAGAATGGTTTGGGTTGGAAAGAACCTTAAAGATCATCTAGTTCCAACCCCCCTGCCATGGGCAGGGACACCTTTCACTAGACCAGGTTGCTCAAAGCCTCGTCCACCCTGGCCTTGAAGACATCCCGGGATGGGGCATCCACAACATTATCTTTTAGGATGGCAATGGAAGAAACATACCGTAGGAATTTCTGTGATTTTAGTGGCCAGATGACCATTCAATAGGCCATTAGGGGTAACATCCATGCAATCCTTTTAAAAGTGCTATGGAATGTGCACTGAGCATCAGTTCACATGCATGTTGTTCACAAGTGCTTTACGCCAGTACCATTTCCCAGCGCCAACAGTATCTTCCCCTTTCTTCTCGGATGCTGTCTGTCTAGATTTCCTTATATTTCACAATTAAATCTCCTGGGAAGGAGAACTTTCTGAAAAGTAGGTTGGTTCAGAGATAGTAAGCATGAAAGTAGTTTAGGACAGCAATTACTGCCCTCATTTGTAGCTCTCTAAGCCAAGTAATCCTTCTGGATTACTTGGAAGTAAGGTAAGGCAGAGTAAATAAGATTTTGGCCCATTTTAACCACTACAGTTAATCCAAGTGCACTGGAATGTTTTAAGCAAGAGCAAGGAATATTATGTATATTTTCAAAGCCAGAGAAACAAAGAGATTAGGACCACAGATTGTTATACTGATGTGGATTCTTACACATTCATGCACACACCCGAAAATGGGACAAATACTAAGTATTTGCATGTCTTACTGAGTTCAAAAGTGAGACTTCTCTAGTAGATTTGGCCCGTTCTACGTAAGTACAGGTCTATGTTCCCCTTACGTGGTAATACTCATTAAAAGAAAGGAGAAAGAGTGGTACATACTGTCAGCAAAATAAATTTGTTGTGTTGCCTGCAGGAAGTCCATGATGCTATCTGCCTTTTCATCGATGTCTTTTAAGCCTGCTGCTTCTTCTCTGTTGTTTTTGTCAGGCTGATATGTAAAATCCACACCGGTAGTTTTTGTTACCAAGCCAGCTGCTCTCATTTTTTCTTTCTGTCGCTTCTTTTTCATTTTCCTCTTTTTGTTTTTGCTTATTTTGGGACTGTCTATCTGCTGCAGCTGTAAATTATCTTGAACAAGTGTCTCTTGCATTCCAGATTCTGTTTGTTCTCCATGTAAATTATTAGAGTTTTTCAAACTGTTCTTTTGTTTCTTCCTTCGAATACGCTTTCTCTTGGTTTGTCCTTGGTATTCCTCCTCTGCAGATTCAAGAGAGACATGACAGTTGTAAATAAAAAGATCTGTAATAAACATTTTGGAACTGCATACAATGAAATATTACTCCCTTCGAATTCTGTGATGTCTGAGTGTCTCTAACCGTACTTTTATTCTCAGAATGCCTTTCAGTACTACAATGTCAAAGCCAACTTTTCTGAATGCACTGAGTAAGAAGACAAGTTCTTTTTCCTTCTGCTTTCAATAAAAACTATCCTCTCTGTACGTGCTACATACTTTGCATTCCATTTACTTTCTTAAGGCAGATAATATGGTTTGATGCAGAGAGTGAGACTGCCAGGGCCAAAACCAGTGCAGGCAGGCTGGGGAACACGGGATGAGAGAGCTCCCCAAGAGCCCCACACCACCAGCTGGTAATGACCAAGAACACAAGAATAACGTGTGTAATTCACAATAAAAGACACTAGTGCTTATATTGACAATATCCCTCCACGATAAGGTGGGATGCCTTAAAAACACCAGGCATCTGATTCTTCTACTTTCTCCTCCTTAAACATCCTCCTCCTTTGGGATATCTTACTGCTAGCTCAGCTCTGGACATCAACTTTATAGGGAAAGCATGCAAGGCATCAGCAACCTTGGCAAGTAATCTCCGATCTCTCTAACAGCCTGTCTTGATTCTGTCATTCCCTTGCCACATTATAATTTCCTTACTAGCTAATTCTTCAAAAGGCTCAAATGTCAAGGGAAAGAAGTCCCTCTTGCTCTCCAAGACAGCTTTCATGCTTCTTTACTCAGATCTTATCCCTGTACACAAAACCAGAGCTCTAAACTCATCTCTGACCCTGAACCCTTACTCCTGTGTGTAAGCCCTCCTGGCACTAGCAAGGGAAGACTGCCAGAACCCATCTTCCTTTAGACTGCACTGCTGCTGAAGTCCATATCCACGCCTATAATAATTCCTCTCTGATTAACTGAAATTCTCTTTCATGTTCTAACAAAATCCTCACACGTTTAAACTTCATGGAGTGCAGAATGCCAGTGTTCTTCTAATGTCTTGCTCTAGAAAGTTAAGCTATTTATCCTTCCCTCAACCTCTTCCTGCATGCTTCTAAATTCCTCACAGCGCACTGAGCCCAGTGCTCTTCTTTATCTGGTTTTACACCATCCCCTTAGGGTCAAAGAATCTTTGCTGGGCTAACGCTGGTGTAACGCAGGAGAGCTTCTTTACGAACGATTTGCAGAGTCTCCTGAACTGCCTCTGACATTCTCAGCTTGTTTGGCTTTCTTATCACTCCTCCACCTACCAGTCTTTGCCTCTATTTTCTCCATGGTTGGAGGCCCTCTCTTTCATTTCTGTTTCTTTTTCTGTCTTGAACTCTGTCAGCTCTGAGCCACTTTCTCTCTTTAAATATCACTACAAGACTTTTAGTTCTTTAGCTGACAGATGACTCACTGCAAAGCAATTTTCCATACTTTCTATGAAGAAGGCTGCTTAAAAATAAATTTGCTGTATTGTAACTGAACACCACAGCATGTTAAAGACACACCAAACGTCACCTCGTACCCACAGTGTGGAATGTTTTGCACCCATGGTATTTAAGCTAAAGATCTTTATACATGATTTGGACATATGGGATGTGGGAAAAGTAACGTCTGTGTTGTCCTGTAGGAATAAAATATCAGTACTGAGGGCAGAGATGAACGGTGAAAGATAAACAAAACATCAATGTTTTATCTTAAGATCTAACTTGGATTTTCATGGGAGTATTTGTGTTACAGTAGGTGAATTTCACTGTAAACACAGATACATTGTTCTGTAAAATTTCTCAGCCCTCTGTTAACCTGAACCACACTGTTTGCTAATAAAGCTCCTCTAATCTGTGCTCTCAGCAAAGTGGCCCAACATGCTCTTTAAGCATCCAAGAATCACTAAATCTCAGCAAAACTACAACACCCTCAATTGGTTTGAAGCCACTTGAAAAAAAACGGTGTAGAAGGCAGAATGGGGCTTAAGATAATTGATGGTTTGAGTCAAATCCAGAAGTTTGCTTATCCTTGGTAGCTCGGGACAGCAGAAGATCTGCAGAGACCAGGGCAAGCTGTCCACAGAATGAATGTAGTCTTCCCGTGTATGTGTTATTAAGATAAATACCCAACTGAAAGGAAATCAGAACTGTGCTATGTTTCCTCCAACACAGAAAACAAAGCAAACACAAGACTTGACCTAGTTCTCTTGGGGAATTAAACTGGCAATCCTCTAACAGTTTTTGTCATTCCTTGCCCCATATTTTTATCTCTCTTTAGTATCTACTGCTTCATGTGTGGGAGGGGACTTTTTACAAGGGCCTGTAGTGACAGGACAAGGGGTAACGGGTTTAAATTGAAAGTGGGGAGGTTTAGATTAGGTATCAGGAAGAAGTTCTTCATGGAGAGGGTGGTGAGGCACTGGAACAGGCTGTCCAGAGAAGCTGTGGATGCCCCATCCCTGGAAGTGTTCAAGGCCAGGCTGGATGAGGCTTTGAGCAACCTGGTCTAGTGGAAGGTGTCTCTGCCCATGGCAGGGGGGTTGGAACTAGATGGGCTTTAAGGTCCCTTCCAACAAAAAACATTCTATGATTCTATGATTCTATGTGTGGGAGCTACTAGTGATTCAACATCAGGAACAGATGAAATTAGATACTGACAAATGCAAAGCAATGCACACAGAAGGGATTAATTTGAACAACTCACTGCTACAGTTAAAGTGAATTGGTATCAGCTCAGCAAAAACAAAACAAAAGCTAGACCTGTGCATCAGTGTGGAAAGCTCAAGCAAAACATTTGCTCAGTGGGTATCAGTGAGCAAAACAGCAAACACCTTGTTTGCATATAGAACATAAACGTTCCAAAGCCATTTTACAGATCTGTAGTACTCTTCAGGCTTGTAACGTGACGTTTCTTAGCATAACACCAGCACAGTAAGACTTTGGCAGATGAGAGGAGAACTCACAGAAGCTACCAGAGAAACTCCAAAAAGATTTCTATGATTTGACTTGAAAGAAAGAGCAATAAAATGGACTCTGTTTCTGCCTCCTCATGCAAGAACAAGGTGGCATCTAACTAGTCTGAGCAGTTTCACAAGCGAACAGAAGAAGGTGAATACTTGTTTTACAAATGGTGCGGTTATCGGACTGAATTCACATGTGTGGGGTATGCACAGGAACCAGGAGCTTAATGGGATTCAAAAACTGGTTGTTTATACAGCCAGCAAGGCTACCCGATTACAGCAGGTATGCTAAAATATACATAAAGAGTTGTACAAGAAATATAATCCAAAATGCTTAGGTCACAGCCCACACAAGGATCTTAACAAATGAAATGTTCAGTGGGATTCACCTCCCACAACTTTAGCTGTCTGAAAAGAAAATACGCAGCGCATACTTCGACCTATGCTCCCTCTGAGAAAAGAGGAGAGGCTAGCGTCTTCAGGAAGCACTTCACCTTGTCCTAAACCAGCTGGGATGGAAACGCACCCTGACGGTCTTCATGTGCCTCTCTCCCCTTCCATTAATGACAAGGGAACTGCAGACAATGAATTTGCACAAGATGCTTGCAACAACTGAGAAGAATTAGTCACTTATACAAAAATTAACAGTATGGAGGTGCTTCTTAACACAAGTCTGCTCATGAGACTGAATTTTACTAATTAATAAAATTCACTGTTTTATGAAAAGGAAACCCCACTTTTGAGTGATTCTCTACAATTCAAACCAGTAGGGATGCCCAATAACACTTCAATACGTATGAATTTCGTTCCAATAATCCTCCCCAGTTACTGAAGAGGTTTGTTAATGTCAAAGCAGCAGAATTATAACAAATGCAGGGAATAGGTACTACACAAGCAATCTTAGTAAGGTGCTGAATACATACTCAAGCAACATCGACAGGAATATCAGCTTTTGGACCACACTCGCTGTAGCCACAACTGCAGCTACAGCTTGTGCTAATGCCACAAGGGCTGATGCATCTCCTTCTGTTCCATAATGGCCTGTCACCTCTCTCCCTCCTAAAGCCCATCTCTGTTCCACAAGTGGCTTAATTTATCACATAATCCAATTATCCAGAAGCAATTGTCTTTAACCTGTTTAGTCTGGACTTGGTGCCCTCTCAGACTGATCTAAGTGGCTTCCAGACAGAATGCCCATCTACATTTTCCAGCCACGGTTGTAATTTCCTAATCATTTTTTCAGCTGTAATAAGAACACCCTCCTCGGGAACTGTTTTCTTCGGGGTTTTTTTTGTTGCGTGTGGGGTTTTTGTTTGTTTGTGGGTTTTGTTTTGTTTTCCCCTGGATTATCTTTAGTCTAGATTGCTTTCCTGCTGCAGTTTACCAAGCCTGAGGAGGAAAGCCAGCACCATAAGCAGTCATCTTGTAACAGCATACCTCATCTGGTCTGAAATATTAAAAAGTTCCCTGCATGCAAACTGCATGTCTCCTTAACAGAACAGAGGCAGAAATATGTCAAAAACCAGACTTACATGAGGACTCGGTTTACAGATACTGCTTATTGAATTTTGACAATGAAAAGCCAGCACATGCAGTTTGTATCTTCAAGGAAAACCAGAAAATAATGGAAATAATGATTTACATCAAGACTCTGAATAAGCTGACTGTTATTTATTAAATTCTATTATATTAGGAAGTTATTTTGTATTCATCATCAGGGCAGCTGGAGTCAGAAGGAAATTAAATACAAAGCTTAATATAGGCTAACAGCAGCAGCTGACTGCTCCTCCCATCCAGACTAACCATCAGCATGAACACACTGCTGGCAACTCCGTGACTGAAGAGATGAGCTTCCTCAAGTTTATCTGTACTATTTCAGTTCCTTCAGACAATGGCAGATGGAAACACTCAGGGAAAGCATCACGTAAGACAATGAAAAATAGGAGGCTGTTTACTTAGGTGTCTGCAAGTCTAAGATATACAAAGTTCCACAGCATGCCAAACTGAAGTTTGGCTTCAAGTATCTCCGAATAAGCTGAAGAATATCCTCTGAGCTTTAGGAATGTCTAATGTGCTCATCATGACTCAAGTACGGCAGCTGGCTCTCCTGCTCACAGACCAAATCCCACAGTAGGCTTTCCGGATGCTGTTCATGGCAATTTTGTTCTTTAGCTCAGATGAAAT